CCCTCATCGTCCCCTTCCCCTACCTCCCCCGCACCCCTTTCCGCTAGTGGAACACACCCCTGGTGGTGCCGAAAGCCCTGTGTGTGAGGACCTCAGGGAGAGGAGGGAGGTGGGCTGGGTGGTGGGTGTTCGCTGGAAGTGGCGTGGGGCGTTATGTAAGACTGCGGGACCTTCACACCCCCCAACTCCCTCCTCCCCCGGGCCTCGCACCGAGAGAAAGGGGTAGAGGGGGAGGGGTGCAGCCCCTTCACCCGCGTTGCTGTTTCCTGTCTAGTCCGACTCTTTATCCTTTCGAAAGCAGTAAAGACCCCCCGTCACGGTTTAAGAGGGCCTAAAGTATGCGCGTTCTGTTATCAGTCTTCTTAGTGTTCGCTGCCCGAACTGCCCTCCGCTGCCTGTGTCTCTCTCCTTTTCCCTGTATTGAGCGCAATAACTCGCGAGCGCGCGCGTCTTTCCTCTGTCCGAAAAACCTGTGCGACTTTAAAAAGAGAGCGATTTCTCCATTACTCCATTTATTTTAAATTGCGCCTCTGGTTGTAATCGAATAACTTTACTAGGACATCTCGTGCACACTTCCATGGCTAAGTGTCAGTCGCACACTTGGCCCGGGGGGTGTTCGATTCTCAGACTCTGCCCCTAATTAGCTGCATCCCCCACCTCTTCCTCCTCCCCTCCCCTCCTTCCTTCCCCTCCTCTCCTCCCCTCCCCGGTCCCCCCCCACCTCCCGTTCGGCGTCCTGATGCCGCCGCCGCCCCGCCAACGCCCCCGTCACAAAGCTTTGATCTGCGCGCGGGCTCCACTTGTAGGCACTCTGGTGGCGGTACACGGCGGCCGGGCCGGGGTCACCCTTTCGCTAACGCTGGCTATAATTACTCGCCCAACACGCGGAGACCAAGAAGACCGTGGCAAAAAGGTACCTTCGCCGAGCACGAACGGTATACTAATCTCCCCTTCCTTTTGCGGATGCCTTTTCTCACGACGTTCTATTTTTCCTTCGTTTGGCTTTGCGCACCGGCGCGCGTTGGCAAGCAGCTCAGGGTGCGCGAGGAAAATTCGCAATGAATCTTTAACAAGCCCCCTTTGTTTATGACTTAATTTTAACAATGTTGCTGTGCGCCCTGCTCGGCTCAACGCGCCCCCCAGCTGCCCCCAACCCCCATCCCCCATTGTGTAATCTCTCCCCCCACGACCATACCGCCCCCCACTCTCAGTCCCCACGCCGCCACCCCGCGCGCGCCTGACCCTATTTTCCACTCTTTTACAGCCTTCCCTTTAAAGGCAATTTTCCCGACTGCATAAACTAACTTCATCTTTCGTCTTCATTTAACATGCACAAAGCACGGCCCGACGCGCGGACGCCGCCGCCCCCCCGGCCCTTCCTCTCTCTCTCTCTCTCTCTCTCTCTCTCTCTCTCTCTCGTTTTCTCTCTCTCTTTCCCTCTCTCCCTCTCTACCGAACTAGGAGGGGGGTTCTCTTGTTCTCTTGTTCAATCTGGAGCTTCTCAGCCCCGCGACCCTTTTGCGATTCACCCAAGCCGCTGGTGACTATACTCAACAGGAGGACACGACAACAAACACCTTTTTGTTGTGAAAAGTTATTGGGGGGAGCGAGGGGAGGGAGGACTGTTTTCTTTTTTCTCAATCAAATGCTTTTGTGTTTGTGATCGGCAATGTAAAGAAATAATTCTCAATTCCCCTCAAATAACCTAAGTTCTTTTTGGTTCTTGTTA